CGCAGGGTAATGGAAAAGCGGAGCGAACGGTCCAAACACTGACGAGATCGCTGAAGATGTATGTCTCCGATGTCAATCAACAGGACTGGGATGACTACGCCGAACGCTTGACGTTTGCCCTCAACACGGCGCAAGATCGAGTGCGGGGAGACACATCTTTCTATCTGGTGCACGGGTGGGACGCAAGATCGACGTTGGAAGCGACGCTCCCAATTGGATCTACAAGGCGGAAAGACAGCGACGCCCGCCGGTGGAGGTATCGTCTGCAATCGCAGTATCGACGGGCGAGAGAAGTGGTGAACAACGATCTCCGGAAGGCGATCGAAGCCAGAGCTGCCCAACACAACGATCGAGTTAGGCCCCACAAGATCGAGCAAGGATCACAAGTATGGCTCTACCTGGATCGAGTGACAAACTGGTCCATATGTGGCACGGCCCTTTTCGTGTGATCGAGCTCATCGGTGATCATGCCGCACGCGTGGAAACCAGCGGAACAGGATACCGCATCTTCCCTGTGATGCACCTGTCGAAGTTGAAGTTGGTGAAGGCGTTCCCCGACCGCCCAACTTGCACCCTGCTGGTCGAGGAAGGAGATCGAGTCGACTTCGATGAAGCTCTACTTCCGGAGGACAGCAGGGAAACTCCTTTGGGCTTTGGGCGAGGACGAATTCGAGGTGGAACAGATCGCCGATGTGAGCTCTGGACGCAGCACGCGATATGGCCGCGTACGCCGAGAGTTCCAAGTGTTTTGGATAGGCTATCGCGAAACCACGTGGGTGGACGAGGCCGACCTCAACTGTGGGTCGCTCCTGGATGAATTCGAACGAACTCAAACGAACCGTAGTCGGTTCAATGTCACGCAGTCGTACGAAGAGGCGTCGGACAGCCTGTAACCGAGAGACGGTGCAGGCGGAGAGAAGAAGAATGTGCAGGATGGGTGCACATTGGGTGGAGGGTACATATAAATGTATGACAGTCATGTTGAATTAGTTAGCCGAGCCCAACGGAGGCTCGCTACAAAAGGAGGAAGCAAGAACGAAGAATTGGAGTGGAGCAAACCCGCACGCAGAGCCAAAACTCAGAGATCGCCCACAGGAACAAACTTGCCAGGCAATCGGGGAAGCTGCGATCCAGGGTGATCTTGAATCTGGGCGCGGTATTGATTGCGCCAGGGTTCCGCAATGGTGGGCCAGTTGCGTGTCGCAGCCCAATCCTGGATACCACACGGAAGGCTCCTCACGCCGAGGAAAATGCAAGAAGTATGGATCCAGAAAGATGTCCAAGTCACACACTCCAGCCTCGATGCAGCGCAACACGTACGGCAGGAAATTTTTCCACGCTGCTTGCGACCTTGGTACAGGGTAGCGAAATAAGCTACCGCGGCCCTCAGACTCTCAGGAATAGGGAAGGAGTGAGAAGCCTCCCACAAAGCCTGTAGGCGCTTGGCCTTCAACTCAGTCCACCGGTGTGACATAACTCGAAGAGGCGCGTCCGGAGGCCCGTCGACCACGAAAGAGACAGGCTGCACTGTAACAGCCAACACGCGTCACGGTACCGAGGCATACACGGCGGAGGCGTTGCCCTCGTCGATCGGTCCCTCACTCCAGTCGTGAGGGGTAGGAGGACTCTCCTTCGGAGGAAGGATCCAGGAAGGAGGCTTGGAAAATCGCTTGAACAGTAGATCGACGGTCAACTCCGACACGCTCATTTTAGCGACCTGAGAGACAGGCCAAGGCTCCACGTAGTCTACGGCTAGAGTCACACGGACGCGGTAACCTGGAATCCAAAGTGCCCGATCCACGCGAGTGGCGGGCAGCGCTAGGAACGCTTGCGAAGAAAGCAGAGGACCACACGGAACGGCCAAAGCCGCACCATTGGTGGTGAGGCCTGAAACTGCTGGACGCGCAGCCGAAGCGAGATTGTCGCCGTCAGGCGGCAGATCGTCAGCACTGGCATCAGGTCCGCCCTGACACGACGAAGTGGTACCACCAGATCCGAGCCTACGAGATTCGCCATCCCCACCGACAGAACCTGCGTCGGACTGGACACCACGGTCAGAGGCGTGTCCCGCAACGTCGCCTGAGGCGGACCCGGAAGGGTCGTCAGGAACTCCACCTTCGTGATCTCCGTGACTAGGCCCACAGACGTCGGTCTGAGGAGCTTCGTCGCCATGGTCGGAATCTTCACGCTGGAGCTTCTGCTGCTGGGTGATGTGCCCACATCTATGAGACTGAGTCAGACCAGCTAACACTGGGTCCTCCTCGCTCGAAGTCGAGCGAGGCTGGTTGGAGGAGGAGCACCGCTCGCTCCCGCCACGAAAGCGTCGCCGAGGAGTGGAAGATGCACTCCCTGCGGAGCGACAACCAGTCGAGTTGCGCCGCGCTGGAGAAGGTGTGTGGACGGGAGCCTCTGCACCTCGAGCAGGCAACCCGCGAGAAGAGGGGCTTCCAGACGCTGGAAGCGAAGTGTATGCGGGTTCGGAAGACCGTCCATGAGCGCTGTCTCCGCCGGACTCTGCTGACGCAGGGTGAGGAGAAGAACGTCGGGACTTGGAAGGCGCGGGAGACGACTCTGAAGGTTGAGTCTGGCGGCGCTTGCGACCCGAGGCTGCGACAGGACTGTTCTGTGAAGCGACAGGGGCTTGTGGGATGGGGCGCACCAATGACACGAAGCCGGCAACCTGGGCACGTAACGCGTTGTAGTCACGGGTGACCTGATCGCTCTGCTCGTCAGTAACGCGCCGAGCAGACTCCGAATCGGCCTGGCAAGACGCAACCACGCTAGCTCCCCGGCGACGGCAGTAGAACGCGCCTTCAACTCGCCAATCTGGCGAGGCAACGCCTCGACCTCAGTGTGATCCACGTGGAGCTCAGTGACACGCTGTTCGAGGCGTGCAATAGTGGAACGAGCGGACGATATATGGGTCTCTGGGAGTACAGAGAGAGTTAGTGAGCCCCAGTACAAGACTCACCTGAAGATTAAGAATTAGCAATGACCTGGTCCCGAGTTCGGTTGACAGAGCGCAACTCAGCCGTCATGCGAGCGACTCCAGCATTGACAGCAGCAGCAGCATCGCTGAAGTGGTCGCGATCAGCCACGGCTTGGTCCAGCCGAGCCTGAGCGCGGCCGAGTTTCTTCCCCAGGACGGAGATATGCTGCTGGTGCTGACTGATGGAATCCTCGAGCGCTTTTTGAGCCACTTCGTGTGCCAGAACCGTGGCACTGGCGCTGTCGAGGGCCACGTCACGGCCAGCCACGATGTCTTTGGTGAGCTGCAACTCCGCTTGGATGTCGTCGCGGGATTGTCGTGCGTTCGCTAGCTCAAGCTGTAGCGTCACCAGGCGCCGCGAAGATGGGGGAGCTTGAGCAGCGCGGGCGGCGGCCAGCCGAGAAGTCAAGTCGTCGATCTCACGATCGAGGCGGCGACGATCCTCAGCGTGATCCTCGAGCGCGCGAGCGAGACTCCGACGAGCAGTCTCCAACTCGATGACGTTGTCCCGGCGGTCCTGCAACGCGTCCAGAGCATCGCCAAGGGACTCACGCAGTTGCTTGGGCTGCGCAAGAGCAGCGCCATACTTGCGCTCCGCAAACTCCACGAATGGTCGAGCTGCGGCCCAGCCGTCGCTGACCTCTTGCTCTAACGTACGGATCCGAGCCTGTTGACCCTGATACAGCGCCTGCAAAGATCGGAGGTCGTCTTCAAGCGATTGCAAGGCCTCCGCACGCTGGGGCGACAGCGCAAGCACATCCAGCGCTCTATGCACAGCGGTAGAGTCAAATAATGGCACGGTAACGGACACTGTAGGGGGCACGGCGGTACCAGCAGGACTGGGGGCTGCAAACAAGAAAGACGTCAGCAACCTGCAGGTGGTCTACACTGCACGAAAGGAGGAGAGAAAGTAGGGACACGTACCGGGCGCTGTGGCGGAAGATGTCGTCGCAGTCGGAGGATGCTCCTGCTGGGTGGTAGCACGATGCAGGCCCGAAGGAGAGGCATCGGTGGGAGCGCGAGAAGGCATGACCGGCGATCGGAGTTTTCGAGTTTGCGATCCGCCGGTTAGGGTTCCGCGTACAAAGAGACCGCTGTACGGCCCCGTTGAACGCGTGGGGGCGGCTGTGGTGAAGCGAGATCAAGGAAATTGCGATTGATGGGTCTTGATCGGCGACTGAAGTCTGGGACATGACTCAAGGAATCTACTGCAACATGTCTCACGGCGAGACAATCTGGTGTGAAGTACACGAAGCAGACCAACAGGTATCGGCCTCAATCTACCAGTTTCGATCTACACCGAAAATCGAAGAGGAGATCTAGATCAAAGGCGGAAGATCGAAGATTGAAGGACCGAGGTGGAGATCCAGATCGAATATCGAAGGTTGAAGATCGAAGATCGAAGAGCAGAAAACATAGATCGAGGGTCCAAGGATCACAGGTCGCGGATCGAAGATCGCAAGTCGAGGATCGTTGGGGAAAGTACGCAGTCCCTGATACAAGACGAACGTTGCTGATATGGG